TTTACATTTAATGTTTTAAGTGATGTTGGTATATGATCCCAGTCTTCTCCATAAACAGTTATTTTCTTATCCTGCCTGTGATTCGAATCGAGGAATACATACAGTGACCAAAATAGAAATTATGACTCGATATTTTAGTAAGTTTTGGCTATATTTCCTTGGTTTATTTAATGTTTATTATTTATTTTATTTAAGTAAAGTTCTGTTCCTAACAAAAACCATATAATAAAATTTTTCAACTTTGTGCAAAAAACTATAAAAATTAATTCTGCAAGGTTTCACAAAAATTTCAATCGTTTTAATTAGAATCTTTAGAAAAAAATTTGGTTGGCAATTTTGTAACTCATTAAAATTGAGTATTATAAAATGCGAGTGGAAAGAGCTGCTCGTTTGCTTCTCTTTTAAAAAAAATGGTCAAACCCACTTACTTTGTATGAAAAGAATGCGTAACACCATCAACAAAAAAAAATCCAGAAATGAATGGTAAGCCTTGGCGATTTAAAATTGCACTTTATTATACTAAAATTTAACAGATTTCACGGGGTAAAAATCGCGAGAAAATTATCCTACAAATTTGTGTTGTTACTATAGGGATACTGTTTCAGGGCTAATACATCTAGAATCATTGAAGAAGGCTTTAAGATCTGTAAGCTGTTGTGGAACAAATTTGAAAAATTATTTTTTGTCCCGTATTTGGCTCTCATAAATATGGTCACCGTATGTATGGTGTCAAGTTAGCACTGCATACCATTTTTTCTTAAAACAAAAGTTACAATTAATTCTGTTGTAACCTTCTCAATATCTCAATTCTGTCATCGATGGTGCATGGTGTCAAGTTAGCACTACATAATAAATTTTGTTCGAAATAAAACCAACTAAATTTTTTCCAGAAAAACGAAAGCTACAAAGTTTTTCTTTTCACAACAAATTTTTAAGTCAAAAGCTTTAATTAATGGCATATTAACATATTGGATATCTCAATGCTATGGACTGGTATAAGTATGGTGTCAATTTTAATGATATGCATTTTTTTCCTAAAAATCTAAAGCTACAATTTTTTTCTTTCCACAACATATTTACAAAAAAATGCTATAATTAATGCTGTTATAACATTTTCAATTTCTCAATTCTATCGACAAGGTATATAGTGTCAAGTTAGCACTACATATAATTTTTTCTTAAAAAGGAAAGCTACAAATTTTTCTTTCCACAACAAAAAAGCTACAATTAACCCCTTTATAACCATTTCAACATCACAATTCTATCGTTTAGGGGTACGGTGTCAAGTTAGCACTACATACCATATTTTCCAAAAAATAAGAGCTACAAATTTTTTCTTTCCACAACAAATTTACAACAAAAACACTACAATTAATGCCATAGTTAATTTCGAAAAGTATAGTGCTAACTCGACAGAATTTTTGATAGTTTTTTTCTGACTGTATTGCATATTTTTTCCATACAAAAAAATATTTGAACATATGTGGTACATACTTTGTATCTATAGAAGAAAATGCGTGAAAAAATACCAATTTATTTTTATATGGAAGAAAACCGCAACACCTTTGGCAAAATACAATTCTAAAAAATTAACGGTAATTTTTAGCTACTCGAAACTTTCACATTATTGCACTAAAATTTAATAGGCTATAAAATTGTATACTGCAAAAATATTTAACACTTCTGAGAACAAAGTTTGAAATTTGTGGAATTTTTGTTCGGTGTCTACAAAGTTTTAAAGTTGGGTTTTTTGGATGTTGTTATAGAATGAACTGTATTTTAATTGAAAACTCGGAAGAATAAATAAATATAAGTGGCAAACAATATCTCTTTGAAGTGGGGGTGCTATTGATATGACCGATGCTGTATATAAACATACCTAAATCGACTTATATCAGAGTAGGTAAATAAACAAAACAATTTATAATCGCTATTTTGGCTGGCTTGGTGTTGGCGTTGATTAGAATATGTGCATATGTATTTCCATCCATACATTTTTTGAATGGAGGGCGCGAGGAGTGGAGGTTATCATAGGCGTTTAACTGATTGTGAATTGCGTGCTTAGGTGGTATTTGTGCTGATGGTGCGAGTATATGAATATGTCTACATGTTTTGTAACGGAGGTGTTATGACATTAAGAGCATTTGCGAAATGTTTACTTCTGAGCCAGAAAGGAAATTATTGGTATATAATAAGTATTAGACTGAATTTAAAAATAGAATAATCAAAATGGTTTTTTATTTGCATTAATTTTGATTGCTTCTATTTATCTTCGTCTACATCTAATACATATGTATGTAAATTGCACAAATCAACATTGGGCTCACGATATAGCCCAAGGAAAATACTAAATTATTGACCTCCAAATTTCTAAATACGCAGAGTAGTATGTATTAAGATGCAAAGGGAATGTTTCCCATATTCTATGTTTTTTATACATATATGTACATATTTTTACCTGCTTAAAGAACTCCATGCACTGTGAATAGAAAATGAACGTTCTTGGAAAACGTTGCAAAAATGATTCCATCAATAAAGTACACAAATTGTTTGAGTTGTTATTGTTGGCGCCTGCATTACTGGCATTGTTGCTGCCAGCAATTGGTTGTTGAGCCATTGGCTCATCATCTGTAAAGTTTCGTCGTGCATCAGTTACTGCCGGCCCGTTGTTGCTGCTACCACTTATCATACCAACATTGTTGTTAGCCGCCTGACTATTACTGGTGGCTATAAAATTTAAACATTTGCACGAGATCTGCATTTTCAAGGCAGTGATAGTATTCTTCCTTTGTGAAGGAAGTTTGTAGTTTCTTGGTCTGTACAAGAGATTGCACTTGTTTTAGGTTTAATGGCTTAGTATAGGCACACTTCTTATTATGTGTAATTAAAATTTATTTGGAGCTTGGAGCACAATTATTTATTTGCTTATTATTTTATAAAATTTTGTAAGCTTTTTAATTATACTTATTCGCGTTTTGCTTTATGATCAATTGCGTTTCGTCAATTGTAAAATACGGCAGGTATTTTTCTGTATTTTCAGTCCTTTGGGAACGCTTCAGTTTCCTATTTTTCTTTGTAGGTATTTCTTCCTTGGTATTTGCTGGTACGTGATTTTTATACGTTATCCCCTCCACACTTTTTCCAAAACCAATAAACTTTTTTATGTAGATGCAGTGATTTGCTTTGTAAGCTTTATTAAAGAAAGTTTTATTTGTATTGCACTTTTTGTAGTATTTTTCCAATAAAGTTACACAATTTTCTTTTAAATTTAGCACCTTATATTTACAGAAATACCGATTTTATATCAAAATTGAAACTTCGACGATGCGCACTCCACCAACAACACACACGTAACAAACGACAGGGAATGAAAATGAATTCGCTAACGAACAAGTGTTGTCATATTCCGAAAATTACGGGAAAAGTTCTCGTTTCAGATTGATATAACTGGAATTTTAGGTCGGTGTTATGCAGACAAATTTTTGTTTGCTAAATTAAATGGCGCCTGCTTAGGTTGCTCCGAGTTGGTTATTTCGAGTTTGGCACAGGGTTGCACGTTCATTATGGTTTTCATGGCTATTGCCAAAACGAAATGAGAATTTTGTGTATAGCAACAATACATATTTTTTTTATATAAACAATGAAGCTCGTTAAACCTGATTTTGTAATGTGGTGGAACGAACAAACAATTATTTGCGTAAAATTTTAAGACTAACATATCAAAGGAGCAGCACTGAAAGAAAAATGAACTCAGGGCACGAACAGAGATGCATTTATTAAAATTTGAAATAATGAACTGAATACCTATTGCAAAACAATGAACAGACGAATAGCCAACATATTTTAAATTTTAAAGTTTTAAAGTATTTGACAGTATAGTAGAAACCAAATAGGGTTGGCCTTTCAATAAGGGCGGTCGTTAAAGAGATGGTGATCGAAGGGGGCGTGGGCGTGGCACTTCCAACCATGATAAAAACATAGCAAGGTATAACCGTTCTCTCAATTTGTCGGCCATGATTTTTTTTTGAAGTTTGCCAACATTTTAAAATCATATAAATGTGAAAATAAAAAAATGAAATTGTTCGAAATTGTTGTTGCTTGAGATTGAAAATGAAAATGTATGTGTGAGTTTGTGAGTAAATTTAAAAATTAAATTGTTTGGAAACGTCAAGAATTTTAGAAGTGACTCTCAGCGGTTCTACCTTACTATATTTTTATCATGCTTCCAACCCACCTTTTGTAGAGGGCATGAACCGCCAATGACAAAAATGTCACTCCCGACCACATAGGCCCAAATCAGTTGCCAGTGATAAAACAGGTTTGATTCTTCACTTTTCTAGCAGATAATTATCAGGAATAGGCAGAATTGGAAAATATGCGGATTCATTATTTCGCTTTTGTATTTTATTATCTTCTATTTGTCATTCAACTGATGCGTATTTCGTTTCCGTTCTGTTTTACTGTTCGAAATGTTGCTGCGAATAACACCCCACGGCATCGCTCCATCAACAAAGTTCGCGCAGCGGTTTGATTGTGCTTATACTTTTAATAATTGTAAAATATCACCCGTATTGCGAGTGTCGACTAGTAGTAGATAAACGACTGTTAGTCGATTGTCAATTTTTCGTGGTATTTTCAAAGTCGTTTTCTGGTTCAATAAGTGCGTGTTGATAGTTTATAGTCGCTCATTTTTCTACAACTGTTTGTTTGTTCTATTCACAGTCGACATTCATAATACCATGGAAAAGCAATAATCGAATAAGAGTCGTTTATCTACTACTAATTGACTACGAATTGAGATAAGGTGATAGCGGCAGCAGAAAAAAAAAATAACAATAATAAATAAACCAACAAATTCTACGTGCAATAACAATCAGAACACAAAAATCGTACAATAAACACATCATTTTGACAATCAGCACAATTCGCCTTGACATCATCTTCAAATGGAAACGCATGGATATTGATAGTCTATTCTAGCGTTACTTTTGAAAACCAGTCATATGGCAACTCCAGACCTAATCCAATTTGAATTTCTTTTACTGCCGGCTGCAATTTGCATATAGCCTTATTTCAGTGATAAAAAGCCATAAATCTCAAAAAATGTTTCAACCCGAAACTGAGGATATGCTACCGCGTTGCGCGCCTACGCCAAGTGTGCCATTGGATATGAATACCGCCACAATAGTGCGTCCGTCTGTGCCTGAAGTCTCAATTTTGATTGGCGCTCAGCAAGCAGATTCAGCCAATTCAAAAACAGCCCCAAATGATACGCCGAATCAACCACAACAAACATACGCTGCATGGAAAAGACAAATTCTTCCTAAAGTATCTTTCCCACCAGCAGGTGCTGAAGTATATAGTATCAACGGTCACGTAGTTGGCTCAAACATTGTAAGTGCTGCCAAAGTGCCCATGGCCGCCAGCACAACCGCAGCTCCGACAAATGCGAACATAACGTCAAATTTGTATCCACTTCGCCCTGTAACAGCTAATGTAACACAAATGCCTATTATCGCAAATTCAAATGCTGCAGCTAGTCTTAATGGCATAACTACGCAAATGCAACAGTACCGTCGCAGCATGGAGCAGCCTTTATGCTCACAGGAAAATTTTCAGCGGCGCTCGTTTGATGCATGCACTACAACGGCTCAAACGTACCGATCAAACTTGGATGTCCTCACCATATGTGCAGGCACACAAACAGAAGGCGCACTGATTTCAGATTCTCCCAGGCGCGAATCTGGATTATTAGAACACCTGGCAACAAAGGAAGATTTTCAAAAGTTATGTACGATGTTTGGAGATATGCGCATGGAGCAGCTGCGCCTAATGAATACTATGGAATCATTTTTAGTTCAACAGACCCGCTCTCCGCAAATATCGATAACACGGCAGAACGCGTGTACACAGTATAACGTTAGTGATTGTTATGAATCTAAGGAAAAGCAAGTCCCAATAGCTCATCAACAATACGAGGTTATCGAAGAATATAATACACTTCCTTCATCTAATGGCTCGAATGGACGATATAAACCGCATAAGGAGTTGCCGGCCTTTGCGTTAGAATTACCACGTCAACCTACTGCCCAATCCACCGCTTATCAAGCGCCCACACCGCGTAATACCATACCAACTACTGCCGAGGCAATGCCAAATAAACCGAGTACCGAAAAAAGCATGCTAATGAACGAGCTGGCACTGAAATATTTACCCAATGAGCAATTGAATGTACTTCTGCAGGAGTTAAATATTGCACCAGCAGCACAACAGAAAGCTGCTACACCCTTGCGACCAATAGAAAATATCGAAAAGCAACCAAGCGATATGTCAAATGCTTCTTACAAATATTTAAAGAAATATCGACTGCTGCCAGAGGAGTACGATGAAGGGAAAGAGCTATTAACACCAGTGCGTTCGCCAATAACACAGGGAACACGACAGCAGCAACATGACCAATCACCATATCAACCGCAACAACAGCCTAGGGCATCACCACGTGTTTTAACACCTCAATCGCCTATGCTGGACCTTGAGCATATTAGACGGCAGCCTAAACTTATTTAATATAAACTGAAAGTATCGTATAGCAAGCTGAATTTTGTTAAGTATGGGATTATTTTTGTTTAATTCTTACTACATAACCTGTTTTAATATAACTAACTTATTCACAATTACCTAATCGTTGCTTCAAAACTACTTTGACATCCAATCAGTGACAATCTCCTCGGTCTGGTAGTTGTCCACAATCAGCTAAAAAGAACAAGTAATTTAATTAGACACCAAGTAATACACGCTTAAATTTTGCTTCGTCATTTTGGAGCGTCACCTCGTAGTCTGGATTAACCTGCTCATGCAGTCCAATGCCACTTGTACCCGGTGACGCGGCATCTGACGATTGAGCTGTTGCGGCCTCTATGTAAGCTGCGCAATCGGCCTCTGCAGCTGCAGCAATTAGCACAGCAGCTTCGTGATCAACTTCCTGCTCATCATCAATATCCTCTATGCCCTGCAGAGGCTGGGAATTTTGTTCTTCCCCTGATATCACCTCATCATCCAACTCCAAAGATTGATTCGTATCAAAATCGATAAGATGTAAATCTTTCATATGAAGGCGCAATGCGGGAATGCGCGCATATTCCGCACCACATATATAGCATTTGTATTTGGTAACGTCACTAGTGCGATTTGGCTTGTTGTGCGTCTTCATGTGTATTTTCACTGAATAAAGTGAGGCAAAAGGTCGATTGCAGACAGGGCAATTATAAGGTTTAGAGTGAACATTACGATGTGCTGAAAGTTGTACAGAATTGCGAAAACTTTTCGAACACGTCTCACATTTGTAGGCGCGTTCTGCTTCATGGGTCCTTAGATGATGCGCATACACAGACTGTGATTTGAAACTAAAGCGATAGAGAAAACAAATTTAAATATAATTTTGAATATTAACACTTAAATCGGTTTCAAATTAATATTCTTTACTGCGGTTACCCCGCGCTTTTAATCTCACCGCTTATTGCAAGTTGCGCACACATATGGTCGTATATCGGTGTGCGTGCGCAAGTGTAGCGTCAGTGAGTAGGATACCCGAAAAGTTTTGCCGCATACTTCGCATGCGTGTGGCTTCTCACCAGTGTGCACACGCTCGTGGCGCACTTTCTCAAATGGTCGCTGGAAAGTTCGACCGCAATATTGACACGGGAAGCGTCCATTTCTCTTATCGTCAACAGTGTTATCCGCTGGCTTGGCTGGAGGTTTGCGTGACTTTGTCGGTTTGTCGGCGTGCATTTGCATATGCATATCATAGCTAGTCTTATTCTCAAAGTTTCGATTGCAGATGCCACATTTGTACTCTGCTGCCTGCTGGTGCATGTTTTTATGTATGCCCAGCAAGTTTTGCTCAAAACTGTAATGACAAATAGGTCAAAGGTTTGTTTGCTTTAGAAACGTTGACTTTATAAAAGTAAATACCCAACCTTTTATTGCAAATTTCGCAGAAGAACTTATTCATGTCGTTGTATTGCGTTTTAGCGCCAGCAGGTAACGCTTGCTCGATTGTGCGCACCTGTTGTGCATCGTGGATTTTCATATGCAATCTGAATGATAGATATAATGGTAAGTATAATAAGACGAAATATAAAAGCCTAAACTTACTTAAGGTTTTTATATGAAGCAAATGTGGTATTACATATCGGACATGTTGTGCTCTTTATTTCCTTTACTTCCGATGCATTGCTACTCTTTGCTCTCATTTCTTTGGGTTTATGGCTGCGACTGTGAATTTGTAAGCCTTGTTCCGAATTAAATTTCTTTTCACATTGAAGACAATGATACTGTACTTCAGTAGCTTTGCTTTGGATGTTAGTGCTATAATCTTGAATTTTTCGGGTACATATACCCGCATCTACCGCTTCTACAGTTTCTGTGTTAAGCGCGTTACAAACATGCAGCTCTGCACTTTCCAAATCACTGAATATTAACTGACAATCACAGCAAAAATATTTTTCCCCATCATCCTCGTCTTCGGCGGTTTCCTGCACTACCTGTTGATATAACATTAAAATAGTAGAATCAGTTTTTAATTAGAGTTCAAATAAATTCAAAATCTAAAATATTTTACCGGTATCAGCTCTCCAATTTCATAATCATCTTCCTGGTTTTTATTGACATTCTCACTTAATTCTACATATTGCTCGCATCCTGCACCAAATGTTTCGGTGTCATTTTCCTGCTTGACGATTTGTTCTTCTTTTATAAACACCCAATCATTCTCTTGTTGAACCTGATCAATTTCTACATTATTCATGTTCTCACTTTGGACTGATTCGTTATCAATCGAGTCTGCAGTAGTTTTGGAAGAATGCCTTTCCCTCTGAATTTTTTTGTGGAATTTAGTAAAATCTTCAACAGTTACGAAATCTATAGCACATTCTAAGCAACGATATATGTCTTGATATTGCCCATCGATTGTCAATCGTTTTATTTGAAGTGTATGCGTTTTTACACGATCTCCCTGATCTTCGACAATTTCATTGACAACGTAGACGTCATTTTGCACCTCCTCTTCTTCAACATACTCAATTAGAGATTCATTTTCATACGTCGCCTCAGGAACGTCTTCATATTGAAAATACGCGTTATCATCTACCATGTTGTTTACCAATACGACACCAACATAATCATCCTGCAGGGGATCACTTTCCAGTTTTATCTGTCTATTTGCTAGGAAAAAGCATATTACAAACTTGCATTATATGGCTTATTTGCATATATTAGAATTTAATTATTATAATCAGTGAATCATGAAACTTGCGCGGCAGTGATTGAAGTGCAAGCTAGAAGTGGTAGTCTTCCTTACCCGCCATACTTGCACGTCGTTTTTGATTGGACTTTATAGTTTCACTAAAATTTTATTATTAACATATGCATGTACATATGTTTATTATTACCACTGATTCAAAACAATCAGCAATATTTTAAATTTTTTGTCCAATAATGAAAAATGCGTCCAACTTCACGTGGAAAGAATGTGGCAGAACAGCTGGTTCGTCCGCAGTCACAAAGTGGTTGCCACATTAAAAGTGTGCAGGGTTGCATAGTTGTTATGACAATATCCGAATTGCTTACCTCATATTTTGTTAAAGTGTACTAAATATCAAAAAACGTACGCAAGGCGTATTCATACATGGTGATAGCAACAATACAAAAACAACAACCGCTTGCAGCCAAGCC